TTTTTTATCATTTTCTTTTTATTTTCTTTTACAGCAAAGAATTTAATAGAGACTTTGTACAGATTTATTCACTGTAAATACAAGAGGACTTTTATGATAACAGTAGAGGATTTATGCAGAAACTAAATTGTTCTTCCAAGAAAAACAGTGGCAGAGCACAGGAATAAATGTAATGGTAAAGATGATCACCTATGCAATAGCATGCTTTGCACTGGAACTAAACCAAATTTTGAAGAAAAAACACAAGTAACACAAAATGCGTTAAAAAGATTGGTGTATGTGCTGGCGGATTTTTTGAGGAATTATTTTCATGAGGATAGTTTAAGAAGATGATAGGTTTGCTTTGCTTTTCTGCACAAAACATCAACTGTCTACTGTAACTTCTACTGTTTGAAAATGAAGATATACAGTACAGTATATTTCTTGTGATGAAAAATCTGTACATGATAACAGTCTGCAAAGTATTCACTTAATCGTGGTACCTGAATTTTATTGTACAACTGGTATTTTGCTGGCATTGATGACAGGATTACTTCCAGAGTTTTATCCAAGAATGGAATATCATGGATGGATTTATGCAGATTGCAACGGCATTTAAATAAGAACTATAAATGTTTAACAATCCATCCGTTTGTCAGCTGTGTAACCGTCCAAGCTGCTGTAGATTCTCAATCACAGTGGTTCTTTGGTCTCAAAATATGTGAACAAATTTTATCTAAATGAAAAGGCTTCCATAGTGTTAAATAAGGGTCAGCATTTGTTACTAATCTTGGTCTTTTATTGTACAAATCAGCTCAGTGATTTAGAGGTATTTTTGCATTAAATTTTGAAGTATTTTGTAGTAGAAATCTTTAAAATCAACAATTTAACTTTTAATATTTTTCTTTTGTTAAATACACCCTTGCCAAATTAAAGTATATTGACTGGCCCTACAGTAGATATAAAGGTAGAAAATCACATGTAAATGTTATATATTATATTCTACTCTATTCGTTGATAAAGCTTTGAAACTTGCAATATCGTTTAGTATTAATCATAGGAGAGAGTTGAATGTGAGTATTTGAATGTAGGACTTATCACCCATCTAATGTTCATAGACCTTCCAGCCTACAATATGAGAGAGAAGGTGGGAGCAGTTTAAACACACCATACATACCCATGTCCTATTTATATGTGTAGGAAGTTAGTAATAGCTCAGTGCATGAGATTTTTTGTAAGCATTTTGGAGGCTTGACAGTGAATCATGTATGTTGGTTTATTATTTACAATAATTTAATGATTTTGCCCCTTTATTATTGATAATACACAAGGATACTAAAGAATATACTACTATAAGGATTTGCATTAACCAGATGAATGTATCAATTTGCATTTTTGCCAACTTTGATGGTATCCGTTGTGCTAAAAATTTCAGTTCGCTTGCGAAATGTCTAATCTTTTTCGATGATTCAGAACAAGGGCATCAAATTCATAAAGCATTCTTGTGTTTAATACTGTAGCAAAAATTTATAAAGAAACATTTAAAATGAATGAATTTTGAAAAGCGTTCCTCCTTTTGTGTCTGATGTGTGGAAGATTTTGATGAGGCTGATTTGGTTAATTAATACAACATGTTTACATCAATTCGTTAGTGACTTTTCTCTTTGCCTGATTGGTTATATCAACATTCTTTGTAATACAATTTTTTTTTAAGATATATTTTTTCTGTTGTATGTGCAGGAATTTCTGTTAATTTTTAAAAAAATGTAAATGAACATATATAAATATATATATATTTGAAATATGATTTTTATGTAGAGGGTTTATTATTTTTTGCCACTTGCATTCATATTATTTCTATGATTATTATATATTTCACATCTGTTTTAGATAAATATTATAGTTCCAATTTATATTGAACAATATTAATAACATTTGCACATGGTGACATGGTAAGTTTGAAGGTAATTACCTTTTCAATGGCTTACTGTTCACATTTTAGATAGATTAGATAATTGACAAAAAATATCTGTTTCTGAAAATTTATCATTATTATTATATAATTTTAGGCTATGGTAATAAATACATAAATATAATTGTGATTTATATTTGACAGATTTAGTTTCTAAATTCCAAATATTTGAAGTAATGTTTATTAAACAGTGCCTTAGACTTCAATAATACTAAATTAATCTTTTGCTCTGAGCCATTTTATCATTCATATATAAAAGTAATATTTTAATAACCTAAAGTAGCTCTAACAATTTTATAAGTTAATTACAGTATGTGCCCTGTGATTGTGAATTATCTAAGTACAAATTCATTATAAATTCTCAGATAGTTATTTTCAGTAGTTTTTCTTGATATCAGAGATCATTACTTTGAGAAAGTAGATTGAGTCTTTATTGTAGTTCTTAAACTGTTGTTTTATAGAGTGTTTTTCATTAAAATATTGTTACCAAAACATTTACAATTAAGGTTACTGGCACATGGTCATCCATATTGTTGTTATCATGTTAGCAAAAAACATCTTTAATAAATTTATGTTTAATAGCCTTTGGGCATTGCATTCTGGGATTGTTTAAAGTTCTATAATGCTGAATGTTTTAGGATACTGTACAGCTAAAACCCAGAAATGATCTAGCATTAAAAGTACTGTACAGCCAATACCAATCATTCACTTTAAGAAACCATAAATGAACTGTACAGTAATTGTAATTGTTTAAAGGTACTATACTTTTAAATCCACAGCTAGATTCAAGATTCTAAATACCAGAATTAGTTTGAGGGAGGTTTAAAGGTACTATTCAACTAAAATCTAGAATTAGTGAAGGTTTAAAGGTACTGTAGTATTAACCAGTGTCTTTCTGATTTAATTTGTTTGATTCCAACAGTTATTCAGGATTGAAACTAATTTGTGCACATTTTAGAATAGTAATATCCAAGTTGTTCTGATGATTCAGATAGACCAGTAGGAAATCATTTACCAAACATTTTTATTGAGGCTGTGCCGGTTCCTGTAATTTATTGACGTTTGCTTGAAATATTTGTTTTATTATTTTAGTCTGTAATTTTGAGGAGACTCTAATAAATACAGACGTTTTTTATATGTGAATAAAGTACTATGCCGGTAATTAAAGAATACTCTTTTGTATTTTTCATTTCATCATTAGTGGTACTGTAGAGTTTCTAACTTTCTAACAAATTATTGGAGCATCAAGGGATGTTTTTGTTCTGATATACTGTAAAAAACCAGAAACTTCATTTTGCGAGTATAGTAATGTGTACAGTTATAAAGCTCTGTCCAGACTCAAATTTTATTTGACAAAAACATGTGACATGCCTAAATATGGTCATGATGACATCACATCTTACCATATATAGGCACATTATGACTATATATGGGCATACAACAGTTTTTTTGTCAAAGAAAATTTGGTAGTCCGAACAGGGCCCAAGACCTGATTATGGATGATGCCATGGTGTTCAAAAAGGTACTTTGTAGCAGCCGGCAAAATGCAACAATCATACAGTATATTATTTGGCTGAACTAGTGGTAGCCAATGCGTGAGTAATGAACTATAAAGATTATTGTTTTATGAGAGCCTGACCGTTCAGTTTGGCTGTTTGTTTTTTTTTTTGGAAAAGCTTAATTTTTTTTTTCAAATGAGCTTTAAATACTTGTACTGTATTATGTTTGAAATTACCACTTCTCAGGCTTTAATAGAATTGATATACAAGGATACCTGTACTTATTCATAAATTTTAGCTTTTACATAAGGTAAGTTATGGTTCGCTATGAACCATAAAATTAGGACTAGGCCATAGAAAACAAAGGCAACCCACCCTGATTTCACATTGTCACTGTTAAAGCATCACAAACAAACATTTTTTGGGGACCTTACCATGATGTATCTTGCAGTGAATGTTTAATTTTGAATGTACTTTGATCTGCTATGTATTTACTGAGGCATGATTACAAGGAAACAAGGGTGGTTAGAATGACAATAATCAGGCTTTGTAAACTGGGAATAATGAATATATATATATATAT